GAGATGAAAAAATATATAAAAGAGCAATACAAGGGGGGGGGGGAGGAGAGGGTTAGAAGGAGGAGGCGGTCGCCGTTGCCTTGTAATTTATAGATTGAAGCAAATCACCCACAGGACACGAACGGGTACAGATATACGAAGTATGGGTGGAATGAAAAAGATATAAAATACAGGAGAAAAAGGAGGTAAGGGAAAGGAGATACCGAAATGTAAATAAAAGATAAAACAGGCAGCGATATATTGAATATTGTATTATGCAAATTTTTAGGTTTTTAAAGAAACAGGAGGAACTGAAATGACCATTTGAAGAAACTGCCAAAGGGATATAAAAAAATATACTGAAGAAGCTGTAGGACTTGGGTTGTGACTGTTGCTCGTTGAGTGTTCCCTGGGGTAAGTTTAGCCACTGCATGATTATTAGAATTCTGAGAACTGCAATGATGTTACTCAAACAAACGAAACATTAATTCATCAGTTCGGCGTATTCTGGAAGCCCTCCAGGAGGATTTGTTGTTCCTACGAGTCTACAGCTATTCCCTCCTTTGCCTACTTTGAGATGTATAGCGTCCAGAAGTTGATGGGAACCGTAGCGCCTCCGTATTCACATATTGTGCCAACAATTAGGTGAAAGGCGCTCTCACAAAAGCTAGTTTATTTTCGTACCTTGTGTTGGTTTATATCGGTTACTTGGGATTCAACTAGCGTAGCTTCCAGTTTATGGTCTGGGGGGGAAGGGAGGCCGTTTAATATCATTTATTGACTCTTTGAAGGACCGAGGGAAGGATTGAGGTGAGCACACGGAGGGCAGAGGATCGGGCTCTTTAGGTGGTCTGTGCTGGATGGGATTTTTTTAGACGTAAAATACACCTCGTGGTAGCCCAAGGCGGCTCTCGTGCAAAATGGGATTTCAGATTTCAAATGATGATCACCATGGAGGCGTACTGTACTTGGCTGCTGCGGTAGTAACCTTTTGGACACCTTTTCAATCCCACCTTTCCTTGTTCACTAATGCCTTGCATGGATCTTTTTCATTATGATTATTGGCGTTGGAGGGAAATATCAAGGATCTGGGGGTTCTGAGGTTTGACGGATTACTTGATATTTTGAGAATTCCATGCATGAATTTTGATGGTGTGAATGGGGATAATGTAAAAGCAATCTTCAAAAACAAGCGAAGTCGTAATTTGGCCAGGAGTAGAATATTCGTTCATGTATCAGATTTCGCTTTGGGAATTGACGAGCACAACTGAATTTTGGTCCGTAAGCTCCTTTTACTTAGCTATTTAACAAATGCCCATAAAAATATTTGACGACCAATATTTCTGCCAAACGGATCACTCCAAAAAATTCCAAATCCTGTCCGACTTCCGAATTCAAGATTATTTCATTGAGTTCGTCCCCATCAGATAACTTACTCAAATCGTCACAACTGCATATAGCAAGTGTGAATAATCCCCAAGATAAGAACCATCACTGATCAATATTCCTGTTTTGTGTAAAAACACTAGATGACAGCCATTTCCAAAAATACGCGAAGTCATAATTTGGTCAGGAGTTGCATATTCGTCCATGTATCAGATTTCGCTTTGGGAATTGACGAGCACAACTGAATTTTGGTCCGTAAGCTCCTTGTTACTTAGCTATTCAACAAATGCCCATAAAAATATTTGACGCCTAATATTTCTGCCAAACGGTCCTGTTAGACTTCCGAATTCCAGATTATTTGATTGAGTTCATCCCCATCAGATGACTTACTCAAATCGTCACAACTGCATATAGCAAGTGTGAATAATCCCCAAGATAAGAACCATCAGAGATCAATATTCCTGTTTTATGTAAAAAACAAGGTGACAGCTATCTTCAAAAAAAGCGAAGTCATAATTTGACCAGAAGTTGAATATTCGTTCATATATCAGTTTTCTCTTTGGGATTTGAAGAGCACAACTGAATTTTGGTCCGTAAACGCATTATTCCTTACCCATTCAACAAATGCCCATAAAAATATTTGACGCCCAATATTTCTGCCAAATGTATCATTCCAAAAAATTCCAAATCCTGTCAGACTTCCGAATTTCAGATTATTTGATTAAGATCATCCCCATCAGATGATTTACTCAAATCGTCACAACTGCATATACCAAGTGTGAATAATCCCCAAGATAAGAACCATCAGAGATTAATATTTCTGCTTTGTAAAAAACAACACAAGGTGACAGCTATCTTCAAAAAAAGCGAAGTCATAATTTGACCAGAAGTTGAATATTCGTTCACATATCAGTTTTCTCTTTGGGAATTGACGATCACAACTGAATTTTGCTCCGTAAGCTCCTTGTTACCAACCTATTCAACAAATACCCATAAAAGTATTTGACGCCTAATATTTCTACCAAACCGATCACTCCAAAAAATTCCACTTCCTGTCAAACTTCCGAATTTCAGATTATTTGATTAAGATCATCCCCATCAGATGACTTACTCAAATCGTCACAACTGCATATACCGATGGTTCTTATCTTGGGAATGTAAATAATTTCCCAGATAAGAACCATCAGTGATGAATATTTCTGCTTTGTAAAAAANAGACTTCCGAATTCCAGATTATTTGATTGAGTTCATCCCCATCAGATGACTTACTCAAATCGTCACAACTGCATATAGCAAGTGTGAATAATCCCCAAGATAAGAACCATCAGAGATCAATATTCCTGTTTTATGTAAAAAACAAGGTGACAGCTATCTTCAAAAAAAGCGAAGTCATAATTTGACCAGAAGTTGAATATTCGTTCATATATCAGTTTTCTCTTTGGGATTTGAAGAGCACAACTGAATTTTGGTCCGTAAACGCATTATTCCTTACCCATTCAACGAATGCCCATAAAAATATTTGACGCCCAATATTTCTGCCAAATGTATCATTCCAAAAAATTCCAAATCCTGTCAGACTTCCGAATTTCAGATTATTTGATTAAGATCATCCCCATCAGATGATTTACTCAAATCGTCACAACTGCATATACCAAGTGTGAATAATCCCCAAGATAAGAACCATCAGAGATTAATATTTCTGCTTTGTAAAAAACAACACAAGGTGACAGCTATCTTCAAAAAAAGCGAAGTCATAATTTGACCAGAAGTTGAATATTCGTTCACATATCAGTTTTCTCTTTGGGAATTGACGATCACAACTGAATTTTGCTCCGTAAGCTCCTTGTTACCAACCTATTCAACAAATACCCATAAAAGTATTTGACGCCTAATATTTCTACCAAACCGATCACTCCAAAAAATTCCACTTCCTGTCAAACTTCCGAATTTCAGATTATTTGATTAAGATCATCCCCATCAGATGACTTACTCAAATCGTCACAACTGCATATACCGATGGTTCTTATCTTGGGAATGTAAATAATTTCCCAGATAAGAACCATCAGTGATGAATATTTCTGCTTTGTAAAAAAAACACAAGGTGACAGCTATCTTCAAAAAAAGCGAAGTCATAATTTGACCAGAAATTGAATATTCGTTCATATATCGGTTTTCTCTTTGGGATTTGAAGAGCACAACTGAATTTTGGTCCGTAAACTCATTATTCCTTACCCATTCAACAAATGCCCATAAAAATATTTGACGCCCAATATTTCTGCCAAATGGATCATTCCAAAAAATTCCAAATCCTGTCCGACTTCCGAATTTCAGATCAATTGATTAGATCAACCTCACAGATGACCCCCCTTAAAATTAATCTCGTAAAATCGTCACAGCATGATCACCTTCAAAATGACTCATCACTCACCTCGCCATTAAACTTCCGCACATGTAGTGAAAGCCCCCCCTCCTCTTGTCAATGACGCTAACCATTGATGTTCTATTCGTATCGCTATTGCCTGGATTATTTTACCACGAACCCACGACCCCAAAACCTATCAAGCCTTGAGGTATTAAAACCACCTCATGTCTGGTATATGAAGATACTCGTTGCACTGGGCGAAGTTCACCATACGCCTGCGGAGGTGAGAGCTCCATGGGAAGCTCCTGCCCGCTACCTCAGGATTCTGGTGAAAATAAAAAATCTCAATGCAAGATTAACCGCACGAGTTTCTATTTCAACTATTAGTAATAGACGCTTTTCATAAAGGTGATACGTTGTTGAAAAATTCATGCATATACATCATGTCTAATCCATTAGTGTACATCAATGGATTTTAACGGTATGACTTCTTTTATAAGGGGGATATGCAACTGGCTGCCAACTTGTATCAGTTCACGTTAAAAATTATTACCTTGCCTCTTAATACCCACCATTTGAGAATCGTGAGATTCAACATTTGTATCTATTACGTTGTTTATATTCTTCATTTTTTACGAATGAATGTTTTAACTTTTTTTCTTCAACCGGACACTTTATTTCTTTTTAATTCACTCCTCCGTTTGACACCAATTTACCGCCTTCTTGACGTTAATTTCCAAACGTGCAGGATTGTAAATAATAATGATTTTATGGGAAAATCGTGGCTTCCAGTGTTGAATAAAATGCCACCCACGTGGATCTCAGATAAGGGAATTCATGGTAATGCAACGATGTATTTTTTTCTCGGGTGATTGAATTTTTTTTTCACCATTTTGGATGGATTTACACTTTGCAATTTTTTTCGGTGACTTCAATGACTGAATCGTTCATTTGGTTGTGTAATTTTTTTGTTCTCATCCGCAATGATTCAATTGAACTTCGTTATGACTTCTTTCACTCTCTCAGATGGACCTCAAGTGGTGACTCCCAGGAGGATTATCCCCCTAGGCAATAATTATCTGTTTTTATTCGGTCATTGCGCGGAACTGGAAGTATTCACTGCACCCAATGACTTCACTCAGTGGATTATGCAAATGTAAGGGTTCATTACTCACGAGGAAAACTGTGGGAAGGGTTTTCGTTGAAAGAAAAAAATTACAAAATTTTTTAGATTTACAAATTGTTATAATTAATAAAATTATTATCACTCCTAGTACTAGGTACAATGGGGCGGAAATAATACTAGAGCATGGACAAGAGAATTAATATAATAAAAAATCAAATTGAAAAAAAAAACATTGCATACTCTCAAGACACGATTTCAGTGACAGGAGAATGTATTTTTTTTTTTTTCAGCGCCAGAAGAAATGACTATCCAACTATTTTGATAATATTTATATAAAATAATAATATATGATTGATTGTATTATTTATATAATATAATAATATTAAAAACACAGTAAAGCTATTTACAAAGCGCGACTGCAGTCTCATTTTATTATTTTTTTTCAGGTTAAAATTTTTTTTTTCTGCTATAGTTTTTGTCGCTGCTCTTGGAATTGCCGGCGAGACAATTTTCATTTTTCTTTTGATTAAGAAACAAATGTTTTTTCTTTTGACTCAGGCTGGAAAGCTATATCTCGATAGACCCTCGAGTCGCCACAACCGTCGACACAATGTTTATATTATTTCACATGACATAATTAATAAGAATCTTGAATAATGAAATGAGAGGAGACACCTAGATTCACGGATTTATTATCATAAACAATTTTTTTGTAAATTAATTTCGCGAATGATCGAGACCTCGAATCACTCCTTTGTCCGCCGTTTTAAACAACCGAAGAATATTTATATTGATCGAAAAAATTAGAAATAAATAAATAAGGCATGTAAATTAATTAATAAAACCTAAATTGAAGGCGGCTCGAGGTCAAAATCATTGCAAAATTCCCCGAACTTTTTTTTTTCATGTATCAAGTCCCAAACCGATGACGTAAAGGGAATGGGTATCGACAGACATCGATTGACTGGGGCAAACGCGCGAATTAAAATCCAATTAATCATTTGTGGCCATTTCCATGCGATTGATTTAGATTGGCAGATGTGATAATTGTCGCGGCTAAAATACAAAGTGACAAGCGGAGACTTGCTGTTTACCCAGTGGAAACTGGACCGTACGGAACCCCTCAGACCACCATGTTGTTGATGCTTCTCTTGATCTGATCAAGGTAAGTCAACCAGAAAATTATGGAAGAGTCTGCGTTTTGACGTGAACATTACATTGAAAAAAATTGATTTTTTTCGTGATAAGGCCCAATAGTTTTCACTAGATTTCGAAATGAGTTCGTTGTTCCTTCCTATTTCACCATTAATTTCAAAGAACTTACAAAATTTTCGGATAAGGCACATTTTTAATGATAAGGCCCAAAAATAAGTTCCATTTTGGGACTTATCAACTTCGATACAATTCTTTAATAAATCTCAAAAGTATCACAAAATTGAAATGTGCGCAATTTCATCACTTCATATTTCCATGAATATACAACCTCGTAAAACCCAAATTTTTCTCATAAGGCCCATTCTTTAGCATTCTGCTTGAGACTGAACAAATAATCTGGTATAAGTGTACACTCGTTCCGTGCGCGATTTTATAAATTTTTAATCATAAGGCCCAAAAAGTCTCATTTTGGGACTTATCAACTTCAACGCAATTTATTATGGGAAAGTCCTTGAAGTTGAATAAATAGTCTGCTATCAATATACTGCTGTTCCGCACGCTATCTTATCAGAAAACATTGAATTTCAAGATAAGACCCAATGGTATTATCAAGCAAGGCCCATTTCAGAAGGAAAACAATTCAAAATTGAATAATGATAATGGTGGAATCAATTTTCTCAATTATATACCGCAATAATATCAGTATCACTGGTGGAAGCACCGGCATTACAGCTGGCCGAAGATGAGGCCCAAATGTCGCCTGGGGCCTGGGCGTGCTCCACAGTAGCCGTTCATTGCTACACTTCGGTAGCCAGGTTTCTCCATCCAGTCGGACGGTGGGGCCGGTTATTACGTAGTCCAATTTACGGACATCTGCCCGAAGGAATTCACCACATTGGGCCCCGCACGATGTAATAAGGCCCAAAATAAATATCGCTTTATTTTTATTCACACACCGCTATCTTACAGATGTTTCAACGATAGCAGATTTTCCATCCATAATCCAGGTGATTTGGGACTTAAGACCCAAAGTGGCGATAGCTCGATGACATCCGGTGTATCTTGGCATCTTTGTTTTTTAAAATTTCTCCTCTCGGATTTCGTAGGGTTGAGGGTTAAAAAAGGGGGATCGGTTAAGAAATCTCGTTTACATTTACTGGCAGATAGAATCCTACAGATAGTTTGATGAAAAAAAAAATAATGGAATAAAAAAAAATCATCTACGGGGCAGGTTGGGGTGGGGAGTAAGGGAGAGTCGGCTGGACATGGCTTCTAATACCTAGAGTAGCCATTCGAATAGCCATTCGAGTAGCCGTTGGAACCCTTGTAAGGAACAGAGTGTATGCTCCTGGAACAGAGATTGACCGAAATATTGGGAATGAGGAACTGCCTTTTTAGCGCATGGATAATTCATTCAATAATAATTTTTTTTTTAATTAGTAGATAGTTTCTTTCGTTAGAAGAGTGAAAAGAGAATGCATGCTGGAGTCATATCGTGTGAATCTAACAACTGGGTAGCCCGGTGATCAAGAAGCGGGTAATTTAAATTATGAATTTTTTTTTCTTCAGAGTTGGGAACAGGGGGAGGATCTGTGTACTCGTGTTACTATTTTTTTTCGCCTTTTTTCGATAATTTGTTTTTGTTGTTGTGTGGAAGGTGCAGGGGGTTTCAGAGCTCCCGCTCACCGCCACCCACATCTACAACAGAACAGAAAACAAGACCACCGCCGTTACATACAAGATATCCATTAGTATACCCGCCGTAAATCGATGATTTATTTACCATCGCCCCCCCCCCACTTTTTTATTTTTTATAACATTATTCTTTATTTGAAAGGTCTCTTCTCTTGTCTCACGTACATTTGCAGCCACGTTAGCATCGTGATTTATTGTTTATGGTTATTCTATTCGCGCCCTCCCCCCTTCCATGAGATACCCAAGAGAAATAAGGACCTTCAACCGTGACCCAGCAAAATTTTTAATTCTCTGTTGAAAAATATTGGTTTTTTATATTTTTGGTCAATTTTGAAAATTATTATGAGTTTATATCGGAGGAAGTACATTGATTAATTCATGCCAAATTCATTCCACAAGACATTGGAATTATCTCGACGATTTTTCATTCAATTATTTTTGCATTCAAGGATATCCAAGTAAATTTTAAAGTTTGGTAGAGACCACACTATAGATTGAACCTATTTGAATCATAACATTTGTCAATTAAATAGCGTGAGACAAGTTTGAAAAAAATGAGTATTCAGCGTCATTAAAATTAAATTTTGCACAGAATTATTATTTTTTTAACATTCTTTGTTTATAAATAAATGAGTGAAATTGTTTAAACTTTCGGAAAGCGCATTAACTTTCCGATAGAGGAAGTTATTCAAATTTTTTCAGGTGTGAAATCGATTTCTGGTAAAATTCCGAATATGAATAAATTTGTTATGATTTTTATGGTGGAAAATTGATGGTTTAGAAATTATTTGTAAAAAATTATCGTAATTTTCAAAATTGCAATTTTTTAATTGTTTTCTAATGGTTCAATATCGAGATTCAAGTTCAGAACTGCAAAGTTTAAATAATAAAATCATTGTAAAATCTCTGGAAACTTAGGGTCAAATAGGGCTTAAATGAAAGCTCATTTTCAATCATCAAATTTTGTCAGAATTATATAGTTTTTAAATATTCGTTGTTTATAAATGAATGATTGAAATTGTTAGAACTTTTGGAGAGCTTATTTTTTAGGCATGAAATCGATTTCTGGGCAAATTCTGAATATGAATACATTTGTTACGATTCCGAACAAATGATTTTTATAGTGGAAAATTGATTGTTCATAAATTATTCATAGAAAATGATCGTATTTTTCAAAAACTGCAATTTTTAAATTATTTGATCAATTTTTCTCCAAAAGGAAACTTTCTAATTTTTTTTTCAGATTTTTTAAATATTTTCTAACGGTTCAATATCGAAATTCAAACTCAGACCGGCAAAGTTTAAATAATGGGGTCAAATAGGGCTCAAATGAAAACTCATTGTCAATCATTAAATTTTTTCAATTAATTTACGTCAGAAAAATTTGAAAAAAATCATTAATATTCAGCGTCATTAAAATTACATTTTGCCCAGAAATATAATTTCTGTAAACATGCGCTGTTTATAAATCGATAATTGCAATTGTTTAAACTTTCAGACAGCTTATTTTTTTGACATAAAATCGGTTTCCAGTAAAATTCTGAATATCAATAAATTTGTTACGATTCCGAGCAACTGATTTTTACGGTGAAAAATTGATTGTTTATAAATTATTCACAGAAAATGATCGTATTTTTCACAAATTGCAATTTTTGAGTTATTTCATCGTTTTTTCTCCAAAAGTAAACTTTCTAATTTTTTTTTCAGATTTTCAAAATGTTTTCCACCGGTTCAATATCGAGATCCAAACTCAGGCCTGCAAAGTTTAATTAATAAAATCATTGCAAAATGTCCGACAACTGATGTTCGCTAACAAAGTAGAAACGCATTTCACTGGAGAAAAAACTAGCCAAAGTCCTTGGATATCCTTAACTGAACAATTAATTGTGCATTTTGATGAGTGACTTCGTGCATGTGCAATATCACTACACGGAAATTCTTCCGTAAAATTCTAGTGCTGGTGTTGGAAAAAATCGCGATCTACCATCTATAAAAAATTCAATAACGAAGTGGTAAAACGGTACAAGTCAATTTTGACTTATCTGGGAATCTAAAAAAGATAGCAAAATTTCCTTTATAACCGTTTTTGTAGAGTCGATTGAGAGCTACAACAAATGTAATTACGAAAATTTCGCTATTCCTCTTAAATTCGGAAATATTCTTCAAAAACTCAACTGGGAGATGAGTCGACTTAAACCGTTTTACCACTCCGCTACTGGATTCTAGTGCTGTTAAGCTAAAATTTCCGGAGATTTCTGTGAAAATTTCATCGTAAAAACCGTCGAAATTCACGTGCTACTCAATAAAATTTCCAGCTGCCGGCACTAAAATTCTTCCAAAGAACTTCCCCCGTGTAAATATTAATCATATTCAACTACCCACACTGATATACCATATTTTTTCCGAATTCATTGAGATCTCAGAATTGATATTTAGTGATGACAGCTTCGCATTGAACCCCAAACGAATTATCCGAAAATAAAAATCCAATGAATATTTACAAAAGCAGATTTATAGTCCCGTTGGAGGATTGCTCATTGTCCGACGGTGAACGGAGGCGACTCTACGTAGGTGCGGACAGGCCGAATAATAACTTCACATTTCTGACTAAAACCTCCAAAATAACAAACTCCGAAACGAGAAAAAAAATCGCAAGAGCGAACCCGTCGTTTTTCACTCGGAAACTTGACTATCGCGATTTGCAATTTTTTTCGTCGCACAAAAGTCCAAAAAAATCTCGAGTCATCGGACCGGTTTTTTCACCCAAAATAAAAAAGAAAAACCATCGATCTCCTCTCCATTCTCACCTGTTGACAATTGTCCGAAATCCGATATTTCCCACGGTATTAAACAATATCATGTGTCACTTAGCCCTCGATCAAAGTCGATTTGAAAAACCTCGCGGCAGATTCAATCCCAATTTTTCCCATTGAAAACCAACTTCACCACAAAAACCTGAAACTGTCATCAATCACTTGCCGTCGGCTAGCACATGTCCCACCGCAATAAACTCCCCCACCCGACACAATTGGTATCGCGAACCATCACAATCCATACCAACTGAGAGAAAGTACTCATGTCAATCGAAAAAAAATAATGAATCTCAAAAAATAAATTTACCTGTGCTGTTTGAGATTGTCCTGTCGTTTGAAGGACTTTCCGCAGACCTCACAGGTGAAGGTCACGTCGTCCTTGTGACTGCGCTCATGTATCATGAGGTTATAGGGCTTGGTAAAACGCCGCTGGCAGTACTTGCAGACGAACTCGACTGTGCACTTGGCGCGCATCTTCTGCCGGCGGCCGAACTCCCTGCCGTGCCCCTCTGTCTCCATCGGCATTATCGCGAACATCCTTATAAATTCCCACCGCTCCCTCGTTCACGAGACCTCAACAGACTTGACTATACCTCTCTCACTCTCTCTCTCTCTCTTTCTCGTCCCCCTCTCTCCTTTTCCGTCTATTGCCAAGTGGGTACCTATCCCACCTCTTTCAAAGATTCTTTTTTTCCTCAAGTTTTTTTTTCCCTCCCGAAGACTGACTTTTCAACGGATCGCAGTGTCTACCAGCGACCAAATATTTGCCTCTTTCTCGCACCTCAGCGGTCCTCGCCGTGTGCAATTATTATTCGCTGGATCGAGTGAGTAATTAACTTTTGCAAATTTTTTTTTTTAGTTTTATCTCCTTGCTCTAGGTCAGGTGGAGTCAAGGATGCGGGGCTGTATCCACAATTGGCTACCTGAGGAAGATGTGAATAGGTAATCAGACAAGTTGCAGTCTTAATGTGTGAATTATTCATGGCTGGGTGAGCTTGACGGTGACCTTTCGGAGGGATTATTGATTTTACTGGCTAATTGTTTCAGTGATTGTTAGTGGCATGTTTTTTTGGAGGTTTTTCAACGAGTCGAGAGAGTCATCGCAGAATTTAGTAGCGAAGCGGTAAAACTGTTGCAGTCGACTCTGCTCTTGGCTGAGTTTCCGAGGGATATTCTCCGAATCTGAGGGAGATAGCGACATTTTCGTAATAACCTTTTTTGTCGAGCGAATCGGGGGCTGCAAAAGAGGTTGTGACGAACATTTTGATATCTTCGTTGGATTCCGAGATATTCACTGAAAACTGGCCAATGGTCGAAATCGACGAAACCAAGATCATTTTAATTGCTTCTATTTGGCGTAAAAAAAACTTATATTCTTCAGCCATTAACTTCCCTTCATCTGCAATTTTATGATAACTGTTGTGAAGGGCTCTAACAGCTGTCTGTTTACAATCTGAACAAATAATTAATTGAAAAATTTGCAATTACTGAAAGAATTGGCTTTCTATTAATTCTTTCTTCTTTTAATTTTGCACTAAAATTGCTGCTGACGAACTGCTTTGCCGCTTCGCTACCGAATTGTTACGTGAAAGTGAATAGGGGGGAGTGGGGTAAAATGGACACTTTTGACTTTTTAAAAAATATTCATAACTCAGAAACAGATTTATCAATTGAGCTCAGTCTGAGCTCATCACAAAGAGGAATCATTGTTCTTTCAATTGAAAAATAAAATTATTCCATTTCATGAACAATTCAACACGTCATGAATATTTCAAAAAGAGTGAAAAGTGTCGAAATCGACGCTCACCCTGCCCTCCCCTAAATTGTTGACTGTTGATCACAATTTCATACTGCGCGATAAACATTATTCATCAGTCATAGACACATTTCGTCGGGCTTTTTCCTCGTTACAAATCATAAGTGACATAAACAACCCATTCGTTGTGACGTCTTTCCCATGACGAATTTTTAGAACTCCACACGGAGAGAAATTCTCTAGAAAAATTCTAGTTCTAAACAGGACAAAGTGACGGTCGGCGAAAAATCCCGAAAATTTTCCTGAGTAGTACCTTGAGGGGAGACTCCTGTGAGTTTTAAAAGTCGTGGGTTATTGTAGGAGACTTTTCATACGTTGAAGATCGATTATATAGATCTGAAAACGAATAATTAGTGCAAAAAAAAAATTTTCTATTGTTCGTCTGCCCGAAAACGCTTGAAATGCCAAAAACAGTCCAGGGCCTCCAATTTTTGAGCTACGAAGGATTTTTGTTTTTCAAAATTTTCGGAAAAATATGTGGAATAACAATCACGAGCTATTTTTTTTTTAATTCGCCTCTTACATGGCTAAATTTTCTTTTTTTGTATTTTTTTTACACAAATAGGGAATTTTTTATATGAAAAAAATCGAAATCAGCTGTGTAGGAGTCCAAAAAAGTGGCTCGTAATTGTTGTTCCACATATTTTCCCAAAATTTTTGAAGAAATAAAATCTTTTGTAGCTCAAAAATTGGAGGCCCTGGACTGTTTTTAGCATTTTAAGCGTTTTCAGACAAACGAACAATAAAAAAAAAATTTTTTACACTAATTATTCGTTTTCAAATCTATATAATCGATCTTCAACGTATGAAAAGTCTCACTCCAATAATCCAGGACTTTTAAAACTCATAGTAGTTTCCCCTGAATTCAGTAGCGAAGTGGTAAAACGGTTTAAGTGAATTTTGACTATTGGCCAGTTTTCAATAAATATCTCGGAATCTAAGGAAGATCGCAAAATTTTTGTTGTAAACTTTGTTGTAGAACCGATTGAGAGCTACAACACAAATTTCGATATCTCCCTTAAATTCGGAAATATTCCTCAAAAATTCAACTGGGAGATAAGTCGACTTAAACCGCTCTACCACTTTGCTACTGAATTATTCTCGTGCTTGAACGAATTTTCCATTGAAATCTCCAGAAATTTGACCTTAACAGCACCAGAATTTTTCTAGAATTAAAAAAAATTAAGCACCAGTATTTCCAGACTTTTCGCTATAATTTATCCCCGTGAATTCCCCCCGTCCCCCAGACTTATAAGTGTCTGGTGATCATGTAGGAATTCAGTCAATTCCTTCTCCAATAAAAGAATAGTGGTAGCCACATAACAGCGATTCCATCGCGATTAGATTGAAATTCCCCAATTCCAATGTTGAAAAAAAACAAATAAAGCCTAAAAAAAGACCGTATAAAATCTGTATAGAGGATCGAGTCATCCCGCGTCGTTGGGGAATTCCGACGGCTGTGGTAGATAAGAAAAAGATCAGTCGTTTGGTTAAACCAGCATCAGTAGTATCCCTATCAGATTTGGGTAGCCTGGAATTTTGACTGTTGACAATTTCATCTCACCTCCCCAACTTCAAATCAAACTATCACCAAACTTAATTGCCCCTGAATATTAAGAAGTCTCCATAAAAAAGCTGAATGAGAAAGCCTTCAGGCCGAAGCCCACGGGCTCATTAAAAAAAAAAATTCAAGGCACTCTCCGCAGTACACGTAGGCGTTTCCATTAGCTCCTCTTAAAAATGCGAAACCCATCGGGTGAAGGAAAAAAAAACGGAATCCAAATGGCCCATTTCACCCACAGATATCCGCCAAATCCTCCAACCCCACGAGATCAGAAGGTATCAGCGCTGATGCGAGAAGGAGTTACGAAGAGCATGTTCAAAGGAGATCCCCCCTAAATTCCCCATTGTACTCTTCTTTTTTAGAAAGCTACCGGCGGGCATATAAGGTGCGCACACTCGAATAAAGTGGCGTGTCCGAATGAGTAATAAGCGTGCCGGGGCGTAGCCCCAGTTGGTTAGCAAAAGGCCTAACGGCGTTGGTCTCTAATTGGACAACTGGTGTTACGCACGCTACTGGAGACTGCTTTCTCTCTTCAATCTGCCCTCTCCCTCCAGCAGTCAACATC